TTACCACTACTCCCTATGTGTAACCTTGACACCGACATATAAGTCACTCATTGCCTGACTACTATCCTAGGCTTCTACCCGATCCTAGTTTCCTACCCTACATACTAACCACAACCCTAACATATATACTATAAATCACTGATTGCCTGGCTAATATCCTAGGCCTTGACATGAACCTATTATCCTACCCTCAGGGCTCACTGGGTACACTGGAAATTGCACATTCAATAGCTCAACAACACTGTATCACCAATACTATGACACAACGATATTCTCAATCAGCATGGCTAATATGCGTAAACAAACCCACCTGTAGTACAAGATGCCGGCCCACTGCCTCCGCTGGTCAGACCCATGTCGAAGAGAGCCTTCGGCTGACAACTGAATATTGTGTGTTAGAACGTGATTCAAATCCCCCGAAGTTCCCTAATTTATCGTTTTCTTTCGCTGATTCAGCGTAGACGACAGAGGGTAGGTGACTCCCCCTCAGTGCCCTCAATCCTCATACATAATAACCTCCTCATTGGCTCTCATGGGTGGTTGTGGGCGGACCCCTTGCGTCTTATTGCTGTGTATGCGGTCTCTCTCGATTAATCCAGTGTACGAGTGAGGTAAGCTATTGCTCTGTGATTACAGAGACCTGCTGTGCAGTCACATTCTTAACCTAGTTGCCAGTCCTGGTGTTTACAATTTACGGCAATAGCTGCGAAATTCTTTTCGCATGTCTCTAGCTTTTGGGTAATACCATACCCTCTTCAATCTCAAATTTGGGCCACAACAGTATATACACTCTGATTTTCTTTTGTAAGGATTTAACCTACTGAAATACAGACGTGATTACCGTAATCATAGTGAAGTCCACCATTATGACAGTAAAAATTAAATCAATAAAGAATCAACCCTTGTTTTAGTTTGAAGACAGATGTTCTGAATCATAAACATTATTAATACTATGTGTAAATTAAATAGTATCAGATTTGAGCAACCTACGAGTTCTTATTACTTACTTACTCACTCATGGAGCTGAGCCCTTCTGGAGGAGCCGCATTCATTAAACTGACACTGACACTTCATGCAGCATTTGATACTGTCATTTCAATAGATCTTGGCACAATTAGTGTCAATTAACACATACCAAATCTTCTTTACAAATTTAAATGCAAACTTTCACTGTACTTGCGGAAAACTTACCCTGAAGATGGAACATGCCACATTTACATTATCTGGGTCATACATGTGAATATGTGAATTAGGAATTGTAGACCCTCGATAATATGTCACCATCTCATATTTTGGCATAATCTCTGTTGACCTGTTCTTCCTAGTAAGCGTAGCCATAATTGTACCTAATAAGAAAGCAAAGATATAACAAAACACACAATCACTTCCTGACTTCTACTCTGACTAATGTCTCCATATAAAGTTAAAACACTGTTCAATTTCTTGATACTAGAAAGGCATCCAAAATTCTGAAATGAAATTCACATAAATCATTTTCTCGGTGTAATTAAATGTGATTCAAACCTCAAAAACTTTATATTTCTGCTCTTAGGAAACAGGAGTTACTAGAACTGTCTATATACTGTACTTTAGAAGCAATGCTGGACTGTCTTCCTGTTAAAGTTCACAGTAGCCAAATAAAAAATTTCTCTAGAACCTTGTGGAACAGTCAAACAAGAAAAAACTGTTAAGATGTGATTTGTACAATAAAAATATAAACCTATGACAATAATATTTTGGTGAAACAGGAAACATATTGAAATATATACATACATTTGTATTGTTGATATATATTTAGAGGAATTTATGACATTTTCTTTTACAAAAACCTAACTAAATGACTTAGTTTTTGGAGTGGGTTGAGACCAAATCCTTTGGTACTGCAGTCTCAAACGGGTTTACTGTACCAGATTACAGAAGAATATGGAGCATTTGTGGAATGACAATGAATTGAAGAAACTAAGTTCTTAGACAGAACTTACCCCATGCCATTCTTTACACCACAAACCCATCTTAGTTCACCCTTGCGTTGAACAAGGGCTCCACAGGGAACAGTCTGTGACTAACTGCTTGAACTATGGAAAAACTAACTGTAGGAATTAAATGGGGATTTTGTAATGAAAATGATTGCTGATGGACATACCTTCAGGAGATCTTTCATGAGAATTGAAGTAGTTATGTGCAAACTCAACAATGTCATGGTAAGTGTCATCTAGTGCTGCAGCTGCTGCCTCTTTGTCCTGCAACTCCTCCAATTCTTGCAATTTCTTCTCTACACGGAACTTTCGCCTTTGCTCTCTCTCAGGTTCATCATGCCCATTGTATCGCCAAGAATATGATGACTGAATGCCCTGAAATAAAATCAACAATTGCATATAAATCAAAACAAAAAGATAATTTTCAAGTTAAGCACAGTCTCAAACTAATACTGAAATAAAGAAATGCAAAATTTAGGTACTCTTCCTATATAAGTATTTAAATGAGTATCATAAATCAGTGAGTCATCTTTGATGTTCAAACCAAGTTGTCAATACATAATGGGAGCATGTCCTTATGTCACCAGAAATTCATGAGTGTGGGCCTTATTAGCTGCAATTGTGACAGTCAGGTTTTGTACAGCTATGAGTTGTGTTTCATGTGTCTGCAGAGGATGAATATTCTGTGAAGTGGCACAAATATTATTTTTGAGATCTCTACTCAGAGATGATGACTACCTGCCTGGGTTATGATGTGGCCATAGGTCACTAATAACTTCCGATTCACTACCTTTATCTTCATAGTTATTTCCATCTAGACTGCAATCACAGCCTTGAAGTTATTTCCTCCTTAATTTCATGACATGAATTGGTAACTATTTACATTCCTTCATCTTGGCTTGGCTTCAGCGTAATTTCAATATGTGTATTCTTATATGTCATCTGTAATATATTATATTTATGCATATTTATGCAATTATATTTGCCAAACTCGAATCTGTCTGCTTTTCAGAAAGGTACTATGTTTACTGCCATTAAACTATTCAACAGATTGCCCATAACCACTCAGAGCCTTAAAGAGGATAGAATTAGTTTTAAAAATAGGCTGTTTTTATATCTTATGAATAATTCCTTTTATACAGTTTCTGAATATGTGGAGCATAACATAAACAATTAGTTTTAATTACTTTGTTATCTGTGTGTTTGTTTAAATTTGTTTTTATATCTTATGAATAATTCCTTTTATACAGTTTCTGAATATGTGGAGCATAACATAAACAATTAGTTTTAATTATTTTGCTAACTGTGTGTTTAAATTTTTGTATGATGACCTTCATGTCCATTTGTTTGGACTTGTGAAATGAAATAAATGTATGTATGTATTGTGACACGCAGGCCATTTCTAAGAAACAAATGGACAAACACATTGCCACAAAAACACTAATTTCTTGAGCCCAAATGATTACAGAACATGGTTTCCATGGCAACGCATTTATGAAGATCAGTAACGGAACCCTTAGAGGTGGTGATCTCTATTAGATTCTCTGGCAGTTATAAAAGGAAGTTGATTCGTGAATTCAATTCAGCCAGGGCTTGAGAGCAGTGAGATTCTTCACAGGGATTCACCAGACAGATGTCATTCTGAAGTAGTTCAATGTGTGAGCTGTTCTAATTAATTGTAATTATAAAGAAGTGCCAATAAATTCAATTATTGAATCGAGAACCCCTTATTATTTGTCACGCAAACCCCATACATGTGACAATATGAGAAATATTGGAAGCAATATATCCACTGCTGAGAAGACTTTAAAATCCTACGTTCACTCCCCTGCCTGCATTAGGGCATGGTGCTTTCAAACAGGGACAACTTACTGTAAATAGAGTCCTAACATGTGAAAAGACAAATTCTTCTGTTGATGAGTGCATGACAACACTCTGTGCACATTATAATGAAGTGTTGCTATCTGTCCTAATTGTGCCAATGCTTCTTCCTAATTGAAATGATGTACTAACCCCAGAAACAGATGATCCTCTGGAGCTTGGTCGACTATGACGCGGAGAACCACAGCTAGGAGAGCCTGGTCTGGGTCTTGGACTGGGAACCCTATCCACAGCATGACTGTGGTTTCCCCTCTGGATCCGCTCAACTCCAGGACTTTTAGGGCGCAGCTTATGAGGTGGTCCAGGTGTGGGAAGTGGGGGTGGTGAGGAGCCACCTCCCCCCTCATCTCGTGGAAGCACAGACTCATAGATGGGTTCTGATGTAGTGTTCTGAGGAGGACTTGTATCATTAGTGCATACTGGAACACCACTGGGGCCCGTTGGAGGTGGGGGAGGAGGTTCTGTGGGTTCTGGCAGTGAAGGAAGCCCCAGACACTTTGTGCCACCATTGTTTCTCTGAGCCGGAAGCTGCAGATCCAGACTGCATGGTGGAACAGGGGGGTTAGAGGTTGCCAGGCCTTCACTCTCCTGCTGGATCACAGTTTCAAGCTGCAACAAAAAATGTCATCAAGTAAGAACAAAGGTTCTCACAGCAGTGACTATGAATAACATAATCATCTGGGATGTGATGCTAAGAAGTCTGGTAGTCTACTGACATTTGGGAGGAACATACTGCCTCCATCTTCAGAGCCAAAGAGTATGCAGAGTAGACAAACAAGCAAGCCATAATCACAGTACTCTACTTGCAAGCAGAAATTCAACAACTTAGTTCATAATAAACAGACGTTCAGGTGAATTTGGACTAGTCATTCTAAAGTTATAAATGAAAACAATATTAGAATATATATTTTATGTCATACACTTAACACAGAAACGAAAATTGTTGCTACATGTCAAGTTTCATGATTATTAACATGAAATATTTATCTACACACCTCCACATCCAAGTCTTCAACCAGTTCATTCATCCTCTCACCAATCTCATCTATGATCTGGTTACGATTAGGCTGCACATCTGACAGAAAAGCAAACAGATTGTCCAGATCCACAGAATCACCTGCTTGTTCTGTAACTGCAAGCTTCGAATTGAGTTGTTCGGCCATCTGAGAGAGTGCTGCTATCTCCTGCTGGGCAGCTCTGCATAACAGAATACCAGTACACTATAAGCAAGTTTCCTTATCAGTACAGAAATATTTATGATTAAGCTTTTATCAACCATCTTGTATATACTTTTCATAATTCAAATATTAATTATCAGATATGTATTCCATATTGAATCTGTGAGCCTGGATAGTGTAGAATGACAGGATGAGCAGTGAATAATAAATTGGGAAGGACATAGCCATGAACTAATAAATGGTACTATCCCTGAATCTCAGCCATAGTAACCACTCACTGCCTGATATCAGAACTTAAAACTACCCAAATGTGAAACAGTAGTACTTAACCATCTGACTGTAAGGTTCAGTCACAGGCAGTAAGGGTATTAGGTTTTTCCATTGTTAACATATGGTCAGACAGGAACAAGCACTTATCAGCCATAGAGCCCATGAAAGATTCTGGAGGCTGCTAAAAATAATCGACTTTAAACATGACAAAATATGAAACTATACAACAGGTAGAGAACCGTTTTGTACATTATAACAGTCATCCCAAAAGCAATGCACCTGATATCTTTGGTGACACTGTGATCACAATTTGGGCAGATAATTCTGTTGTGTCCTTCACAAATATCTGATGGTGGGTTTAAATGAAAGTTGAATAACAGGTCTTCTATAAGCAATTTTTGTGCATTCATTTGTTCACTTGTTTAATGAATTCTCTGTTATGTGTGTTGATTTATTTAACATTGGTTTCTCAATTGGAAGACTTGGCTAGAGTGCGAAGCTGACAACTGATCTCAGTCTGTGAGGTACAAAGTTCTCATGGCAGTGACTATACAGACAAATAGCTCTCGGATTCTATGCCATGTCTGAAAGACAATATCAACATTTCAGTCAATATCTGAAGATGGAGACAGCAGGCTCCTCCAAAATACTGGTGCAGGAACTTCATTATGTACAAGTTCAAAAAACGCTTCATTTTAATGTGAACAACTTATTTAGATGACCTTCAATTAGCAACACTCACTTTAATGAAAATTTCTTGCTGCTCAATTGAGAGACATCAGGGAAGAGGGACTGGGTGACAGAGAAGAATGTCAGGTGAAAAGGGCAAATCTGACCTAGCAACATAACCTCTTCTGTGCATGTACTGCTGTCATTCTTTGAAGGGATAAGGAAACATTCAGCACAGTTATTTCCTTATGTTTGATTTACATGACTTCATCTTCTGTAACTTTCCTTTTTAACACAACTGTCACATAAACTGAACAGTACCCAAAGTACACAGGATCACATCCCAAAAGGCAGTAACCTTCATTATTACATCTGGTGCCAATATTAAGAAAATATTAAGCTTTACACTAAGTCCCCATATATGACTTAATGATATGGTGCTGAGGCAGAATGGCAACATTAACTTAACCTTTACCAAAATAAGCTTTCACCATTTGTGCAACTTATTTAATAATCTCATTTTGTAGACACTTCCCATGTTATGAACAAGAAAGCATTATAAACTGCAAAAAGGTTAAAGTGATAGCTTTGAAAGCTGTCAATAATTTACCAGGATGCAAATTTCAACAGAAACACAGCAGCAAAACCCTGTAGTGTACATCAGTTTCAGAAAAACCCATATAAATACCATTAAAATATTACAAATGATAAAACAATTCCAGCCAGTGAGACTGTTGAAGCTTTTACTACTTCACTTCTTAGCACTGAGTAGTTTCTAAAAGTAATGATGTTTCCTCCGATGATGGTCTATAGGGACTGAAACATGTTAGGGTGCTAAGAACTGCAGTAGTAAAAGCTTCAACAGTCGCACCGGACTGAATTGTTTTATCATTTGTAATATTGTCAGTGTGATGGACCAGAATGAAACAAATCAAAACCATTAAAATAGGCCAAGACAAACATCTTTACTGTTACTTACCCTCTATCCATTCCTACTAAACCATGATATTGCATGCTTGAAAAAAAATAACATTTTTAGTTATGCAGGATAAATATATCTGCAATAATTGACAGGTCAGATTCTGTACACCTCAAAATGAACTTGGGTCTGTGGCTCTAAAATGAATTGTTTGTACTAGCCCTTGATGATGACTGACAATGGAAAGCTGCAGTAGTCAGAAAAGAATCTGCACCAACTGACATTTTTCCTGCCATAAATCCTATCTTAACTGCCTTATAAATGACAAACAAAATATTTGCGGTGAGAAGGCAGCTTCTAACCCCCTGAACTCTGGCATGGACCCTGTTCACTGATTCTTGAGTCAAGATCATGTTTATGATTACGGGAAGTGATGCTAAAAAAAAAGGCAATTAATTTTAGCACACAAATATGAAATTTAATTATTTATTAATAATACAGTAAAATGTAAAGTTGTCCCTGTGTTAACCTAATTAAGCACTATGCCATGAAGGCGTATGGGGAAGTGGATGTATAGGGCTATGTTTGACCGCGCCATAGCTCAAGTGGTTAGTCACTGGCTTCCCACCACAGCGGCCTGGGTTCAATCCCAGGTCTGGTCAAGTGGGATTTGTAGTGAACAAACTGATGCCAGGGCAGGTTTCCTCAGAGTACTTCGGTTTCCCCTGCCAATCTTCATTCCAACAATTGCTCCACAATCACCCTAACCTATCATCTGGGGCTAGTACAATAGGCCAGAAGTGGCCGCAGTACAAGGGACTTAGTCCCACCCCACTAGCATTAAAAAAATTAGATCTATGTTTTCTTGACCTTGGCACTAGTTGCAGGTGAGTGTTAGCTTCATTCCCCAGCAGCTTTATCCCTGGCGAAAGAGCCCCAGTACCCATTGGACAGGAGGCTGAGTGAACCCCAGAGAAGGTCTGGATAATATGGAGATGAGAAAATTCTTGACCTACTGGGACTCAAACTCCAACTCCTCGGTAATCCAGCCCATAGCCAGTCACTATATCAACCGTGCTAACCTGGCTCCTACTAATAACACAGTAACTGCCAATTTTACAGTAACTTCTGTCACTGTATTTATTTTTATACTTCACAAAAGAGAATCCCATGAACAATATGAAATTATCAAGTATACAATTTAAGAGAAACACAATTCAGTATGTGATCATGTAATTTTGGGTACACAAACCATTTAAATGATAGATATTTAAATTCTTCAGTGTTACATATTTAATGTCAGATGTTATGAACATCTTATGTGCTCTTATGAAAATAAATGTTTTAGTTTTCTTTAGAAATATTTCAGTGAATCTAAATTACAATAAAATCAACACGTAGTAGCAAAATAAATAATTACAGAGACAATTTAAATTTCAAATGTTGACAAACAAATAAACAGCAGTTAAATTAATTACAGTTTCAATAACTGTCTTCACTGATAATATTTCATTTTACAAATTGGTTCCCTTGTTCACCAGTACAATGATGAATAAAAAATACTATACCACACAGAAAACTTGAGTGCATTAGCTATGTATTCTCTGGAAAGCTACAAAAATTGCAGCTTTCATACTGTGGGCATATGTTTTAATTTTAACATTTTCTAATGATATCTGTGGTTCCAGTGGTAGTCAATATTAAAACTGTCATCTTCTGAGATGTGACACTGTGTAGTTTTCCATGCGGTTACTAAGGTCTCTTTAGAGTAGTTAACCTGAAGCTGAAGGTAACAGATTCAATTGTTTATTTTCTTTTGTATGTACCAACAAGAATGTAGCCAGTCTGAAGAATGTCAGCCTAAACACAGTTTCTAGGAGGTTCTCATAGTTTTAAATGTTTACAATTATTACTGTAATATCATGAATGAAACATGCTTTCATTACTTTACTGTCCAAAGTTATATTTCACCAAGTATTTACATAATGTCAGTAGTGTTCCTGTTTCACAATTAGAAGCCTTTCAATTGGAATCTGCCAGGATGAGAGCTATCCACCAATCATTACTGAGGTCCTCTGTAATTTTCCTCATTTCCTAGAGTCAAAGGCTGTGATAGTACACTAAAGCAGATAATGACACTTTCATTCTATGCCACTCATAAACATCATATCATTAATAATATGATGGTCCATAAGTAACATTTTTTCCCCAAAAAAAGAAGACCTGATTGCCACTGCACTCAAGATCAAAACATACAATACATCAGCCAGCAGAAATGTGACTTCTGACTTCTGACAGGTTTGCCCATATGTGTAGTGTACAGACCAGCTGGAGAAGAGCACTTTACATAACCATTGCAGAGATAAATAAAACAAGAATCAACAAGTAGTGATCTGACTACTGAAGAAATGTCACTGCATTAAACATCAGGAAGATGTAAATATTTTCTAACCTTTCACTATCCTCAAGGGCTCTCTTATCATTCTCTGCCTGCTGTTTGTCCAGTTCAAGTTCCCTCTGCCTGCGTTCCTCTTCGAGCTTCTCTCGTTTACGCATCTCTTCTTCTACACGACGCATTTCACGCAATGCTGCAGCCACCTGAATCACAATAAAGAAAGTAACCTCTTTACTCTGAGTACAGTCAAGTGCTGGATAAGTGATGAATGATAATTGTAAGGTGGTTAGGGCTTTTGCATACCCTATGGAATGTTGACAGCTGAGTGTAAAGTAGTAGTGGAATTATGATTAGCAGGGACAAGCCAGAGGAACTCAGAGAGAAACCTGCTCCACTACCACTTTGTCCATCATGAATTTCATGTGATACCACAAAGCGAGACTGAACCCAAGTTTTCATGGCGAGAAACCACCATCTCACCACCCGAGCTACACCAAAAGCCAAAATCATGATTAAACAATCCTCAATTTCCTTATTAATTTTCTATAATATTATTATTACACAATTCTGATCACGAGGCTTGCAGTATGAATCTTGCTGTTACAGCATTAGATGCAGCATCATCACCCCCGCCATGATTTAGAACACTTAGCACACAGCTATATAATTCACTACAACATACCAACATGCACAAACATAGACTGCCTCCCTATAATACAGGTTATGTAACATGAATGTTGCAATGCACATTTTAAAACTAACATTTAACAAACAATATTTACATCCCATATTTGTGAAATTTTTTTCCTGTAAGAAACTGAAGAGTTAATACCAAAATCTCTGGTTTTTATAGTAAGTCCTACGAACATAAATGGGGTGAGTGAAGGAGTAACTTTTTTTTTTGTGTAAAACTGAAGTGGTACAACTTACATAATACAATTATTTTCCACAGTGGATTCTCCATATACTACCAGGACTAAAAATGTAAGCAGACAAAAATGTCAGCAAGAATTTTAATTATCTGCATTCAGTGTTCTTACTTTATATGGATTAATGTGAAATACTGTATGCATTTAATCCAGAAGATTAACATTACTTGTGTTGATAAGACCTTAAAACTTACCTCTCTTGCAAAAACACCACGAAGATGTGACTGAATGACTATGGCTGCTCTGCGTTGTCGAAGGAAGAACAGTCGCTGCTTCCAACCACGATATGCATGCTGTACCTGTAATACGGCTTGCCGAGTTCGAAGGAATTCTGAAACAGATCAATTTCAACTAAAAACAACTACATCTTCAGATGAAATTCAAGTACATTTTGACTCTAGAGCACAATATTATATCTCAGAAATCATAAAGCTACGGCTTTTGACTTTTTCTGAATAAAGAATCTTTAATGACCATTACCAGCTCATGAGCTATAAGAACATATCTTTTGTAGATTTCAAGAATTTATGCAGAAGTTATTTACTCTGAACATAACCTCTGTGCATACTAGCTGAAACTGTAGACTCACCTATCCGGACTGTGTAGCCACGCCAGAATTTTTGGATTCGTATTGCCATGGCATGAACCACTTTAAAGCGCCCATCTTCTAATGGTTCATGAACCCTACTCCGAATGAACACTTTGCATTTGCCAATTTGCCATTCTGTACTGGGAACTCCCTGTTCCTCTAGCAGTGCTCTGAAAGAAAGAAAGAAAGAAATTTGTGCTACACAAATTCTTAATGCTTATACAAGTATTGTTCAATATATCTCACCTTCTTCTAAAGACCTGGAATTAAATGGATAAAAATTCTATTTGAACCTAAGATTAGAATTTCTTCTGTTATAACAATTTTAGTGATTTTGGAGAACAAAGCAGACTGATCAACTACAAACTTTAGGCGCAAGAAGGAATCAAGAAGATCCAACCTGTGATGATGACAATGACAATGATATTGCCACCATACCATTCATCTTAAAAACTTCTGGTAATCACTGTCAGTACAATTAGATTATTTTCTCTCAAGCTTAGGACATACAAATGTAAAGAGATAAGCAATTATCAAAAACAGTCTCACAATTTGTTTATTACAATATCAGTGCAAGGAATTACAAGATGGCATAGAGTTACATCAGGAAATTAACATTAATTTGAAGCAATTATACATTTTAATGAAGATCTAAGCTACAGTTGTCTCACAAAACCTAGTTCACTATTTAAATGGATGTAGTAAGAAATATTATGAAAGACTCACGCTTCCATGAGCTCTTACAATCGAACAGCCAGGATTTGGGAGTGAAGATACCTCTTCAATGGGCTCCAGAGAAGGTACCGATAAAAGTAAAAGGTAAAGTTGTCCCTGTGCTTAATTGATTAAATACTATGCTATGAATGTGCACATGGGAGCGAAGGTACAGATCCATATGTTCTTAACTTTGGCACTAGAAGGTATGTGGTCAACTTCACGCTCCGGTCACTTTACCCCCAGGAATCATGTGAATCACTTCAAATAATAATACTGTAAGTAATAAAAGTAAACTTATGTAACATTTTTCTCACCGGACAGCATCAGTATCACAAGAAGGAAGTCTGTTGCGGTACAAACACCTGTACCTCTGGATAAACTCAGTCAATGTCATATGAATTGGATAACCTTCCTTCCGTATTCTGATGATTTCAAGCATGCCCAGGTATTTAAGCTGGTCCAGCACCAACTTTTCATTGTAGTTGTTTGGTGCTTTCTTCATGTTTGGCTTGATGCATCGCACATACCTGCAATCGTGTTACACTAATTAAGTACACTTCTATGAGTGACAGGAGTCAAACATGACACTCCTAACAGATACCAACTGACAAATAATGTTCCGATCATGTACCATATTTTAACAAATGAAGCTCTAGAAACTAAGACATGGTTGTGTAATCAATTCATATGGTGTAAGGGAAATGTAAATATCAAAACTTATATTAGTCTAACTTTAATCCAAACATATTTTCTAGCCTCCAGAATACATCTATTAATTTATAAACATATGTAAATTGCATGTGAAACCAGAATCCATTAACATTATTTGTTTCACAATGAACTTGAATATGAGTATGAGGGGTGAGCCATAAAACTGGTCCTAGCACTGCAACCTTCAATGATCTATTGTGCTTTTCACAATGAACTTAGTTTTATTTTTAGAGCACAATACCCATAAAATACCACTAATACATGCTTTCATCTGTTACTGCAATACAACTGCATTACACATTGCTACTTCAGAACATTCCAATTAAAGATATGAATAAAAATTATAAGCATTTATAAATGCCCAAATATGCTGTAGAAAACACTCACCATGGATTGGTGGCCTGCAGTACATCAACAAGGGCCTGAAGTTGATGCCTGAATGTGTCACTGACAGTTGGTTTGCCCTTACTGGTCCCTCTCGGTACAGTGGCTCCAGCGGTGCTACCCATCCGAGCTACTGTCGAACCAAGAAGGTCCTAGTCACAAGGGAAACAGAATAAATTTAACTTAACCCTTTAAACAGAAGTACCACCCGCTTTAAATTTACAGTCTTTGAATAATAAAACAAGTGAGAAAAGTGTAACCACTTTGCTTTAACAGAATAAACCAAGGGCAACTATAAATTATAGCCTACAGGATTATGCTCTTTAGCCCCAAGAAGCAATCATTAATAATTTGCTATCTACAAAAACTTAGCAAAACACAAGTACTATGTGCCTAAAACATCACTGAGAATGCATCATCATCATCATCATCATCATTGGATAATGAATGATGAGATCTTTCTTCTCTAAGGTTGTGCCTTCAAGATGTTCTGTACTCCCAAAAATGTTTCAGACAAAGGAAACTGCAAGTATTTACATGGATATTTTCAGGACAAACTAACTTGTTCATAAAGTTTTAACCTTTAATTCCAATGAACATATATTCCAACATCTGAGATGTGCAAGTGTGTTCAACTGTGACATACTGGCCATTTCTATAACAACAGAGGAATATCCGTAAACAATCTCATGGCAAAGAATACAGGCAACAATAGAGGAACTGGCGCTTCTATGCGACAGCCAGTAGATAATAGCAACAGAGCAATGCTGGAATGGTAACTAGCTCAGAGATAACCCTGCTGCACTACCTTTCAGTCTACCACAAATCCTACATGGTCTACCCTGGGAACGAACCCAAGCCTCTGTGGTGATATTCTAGTGACTGACTATCTGAGCTATGGTACAGCCTTTTACTAACATTTTCTTGATATCTGAAGTGTGGAAATGTCATATTCTAGAGTTAAGGAAATTTTTTAGTTGGCCCTTTTAATAATGTCCAAGTCCAAATGAAGGTTTTGGGCTGTAACAGCCAATCAGAACTGTCATTTTGTCCAGCAGCAAAACAAATTTTTCAGAAGAGTTCATTAGTTTTTTTTATTGCCAGTGGGGTGGGACTGAGTACCTTGTACTGTGGCCACTTCTGGCCTATTGTACCAGCCCCAGATGATAGGTGAGGGTGATTGTGGAGCAATTGGTGGAATGGAGATTGGCAGGGGAAACCGAAGTACTCGGAGAAAACATTCCCCAGCGCCACTTTCTCCAATACAAATCCCACTTGACCAGACCTGTGATGGGAAGCCAGTGACTAACCGCTTGAGCTATGGCATGACCTTCATTAAATATTTAGTAGTTTGAAAAACGTTTTGGGCAACATCTGATGCAGTCAAAAGAAGAAAGAATTCACGTAATGTACACTTTCCGATATGTTACGACATTTGTGAGTAAACAGCAATTAAAGTATAAGGGAATTAAAAATATATTCCAGTAAGAATAAAACAAAACATACCTAATTTGTCTCATGTTCCTTGGAAAATAATCACTTTCTCAGATGGGTATCTACTATCATCCCTGGAGGACCATTCCTTACCTGGTACATTGTCAGTTCTTGAACAAACTCGTTGGTGGAACGACTCATGAAGTCAAAAAACACATCCTGTTGCACATCACGATTCTTATCAACAAAACCTTCAACACAGTAAGTCACACAGCCGGCATAATGTTGGATACTAAATTCCTTTTCCCATCGCCGCCTATCGTCACCTTTCACATAATTAGGATGCCCATCAAATTCTGTGTGTAGGTTTGTGAGGTAAGCTAGATCCGAACCCTGAAACAAGAGTAGATCAAACTTGTAAAACTGAAGATTTTGCACTAGATCTAAAAGTAATAAAAATCTTCTTGCACAATCAATGGAGACCTTCTATGTCTCCTACACTCAGACTGCCTGAGAATGAGCAACTCTGATTAGGAATATGTACAACATGGTGCATTCTGAAATCAACAATATGCATTCCAATATGCGTTATGAACAACTGGTATACTATTCAGAGCCAAGCATTCTTTTAGTTCTCATTTTAACGCAGGACTAAGCGAGATGGTGTAGTTGCAATATTTTACGCTTGAATTCAGGAGGTACCAGGTTGCATCTTTGGCAGGTTAGGTTATACTAAGTGTGTTGTATTTTGCAGCTTTCCCTGGTATCTCCAGGTAGTTCTTTAAATACTTCTTAGTACTGTGTCCTTCCAAATCCTTACCTACTCACTCTTCACGATCATTTTTTCATATAATTTAATGCTGCATAACTTCTGCAGCTGAACATGCCACAATCACTTCCAGATCCTTACCTACTCATTAATCATTTACATCTTCCTATATCATTTGACATTATACAATCTCTGCTTCTGAAACAGCATCATTAAATATTCTAAGAATCTTGTAAGCCAAGATGTTGTAGCATGATGCAATAAAATGCACCCGGAAGGAACAGAACTCTTATCATTTTACCAAGAAAGCCCCATAACACAAAGAAAACGTACATAATGTAAAACACATAAATCATCAGGATATATTTTCAGTTCAAATTATATTTAGGCCCCAACAGCCAGTGATACCGACACACTTTAAAATATATAAACAAACAAACAAACTCTGTGGCCTGTAGTCTGCAAGCAAACTATACCGACCGAGCAGCCGCCGCTTTTCAGTGAAGCTAGTGCCAACTTTTATGGATAGAGACTATCACAAGGTCAGCACAACAGTTCCCCACGGCCGTTAATCCCAGTTTTCTAGACCAGAGCCACTATTTCCTTGATACAGCACCTCAATTATCCTCATGAGGCTGAGAGGACTCTGTTGATCCACTACTGCCCAGAAAATCTGGCAGTGCCGGGAATCGATCCCAGGACCTCTGGATCTGTAGCCAGAAACTCTGACCACTAGACCACAGAGGCGGTCCTTTAAAATATACACTCACATCAAAATGTATAATATTATATTTCAACATCCTGTTTCATTGCGGTATCATTTGTGGTCTTGTTTTCCATCTGTAATGCAAAAATTTAAATTTTAAAGGACATTAAATCACATTCAATTCACTAAGATGTTCATTAAATGTTTAAAATATTATTACAATATATGTACATTCTGTGTTTATGCTACATGTTTCNCGGTTTCTGCGACACCTTGTCTATTGCGTCAATATTCAATGGTACGAACTAATTCCTCATAAAGCAACTGTTTTTATACCTTGCTTACTACGACATGCATAAATGCATCAACCTCGTATGTAACGTCATTTCATTCCTCAATTTCTCTGATATGGACATTGAACGTAATTTAGAAAGTGTGTATTGGGCAAGTAACATGAAACAGATGAAGATAACTGATTACTGTACTCGTATCTAGGTACAGTAAGGCACAACAGTTGATGTAATCTACTGTAATTTGGTGAGTAGTCCTACCTTTAATATACAGTATTAGTGCGGTGTGTATT